GTGGTGCTAGTGGTGGTAGTAGTAGTAGTAGTAGAAGAAGAAGTAGTAGTAGTAGAAGAAGAAGAAGTAGTAGGAGTAGTAGTCGTAGTAGTAGTAGTAGTAGTAGTAGTAGTAGGAGTAGTAGTAGTCGTAGTAGTGGTAGTCGTCGTACTGGTCGTAGTCGTAGTCGTAGTCGTAGTCGTAGTAGTAGTAGTAGCAGTAGTAGTAGAAGTAGTAGAAGTAGTAGGAGTAGCAGTAGTAGTAGTAGCAGCAGGAGTAGTAGTAGTAGTAGTAGTAGTAGTAGTATAGTAGTATGGTGGTATAGTAGTATAGTAGTATAGTAGTATAGTAGTATAGTAGTAAAGTAGTATAGTAGTATAGTAGTATATTAGTAGTAGTAGTAGTAGTAGTAGTAGTAGCAGTAGCAGCACTGGCAAGACTAAGCAACCTCAAGCAAGCTCAAGCAGTGGTCGCGACAGAGGTATCTCATAGCTGTACCAGCAGCGTCCTTGTCCACGAAGGCAACCGAGGATACGCTGGCCTCAGCCCACAGTCTCAACTCTGGTCCCCGACAAAGCCCAAGACAAGAGCCCAAACATCGACAAGACAAGGTTGGCCTTCGCATCCAGAACCGGAATCACCTGAGGGGTGGTTTGCTCACCTGAGCCACTGGAGTTGGACTCTAAACTTTAATGGCCCACGCTCGTGCAGTTGCTACGGTTGCACATGGTTCTGTACAATTGTCGATCTGCATGCAAAGTCGTAGAGGAGTGATGTCCGATCATGCATGATTCAACGACTGCTGGAGAGGAGGACACACGTTCGCAAGAAATGCAGTCACTCGAGACTCCATCATCACTTGTGGATGACAGAAGCAATCTTCAACATCGTTCGGATCAGGCAGCAGATGCAGCAGCAGAATCGCGATTGTCGTGATCAGCACCAACAGCAGCCCCGGCACCATCACCCTGAAGCAGAAAAGAGATCGCCATCGTCATCGTCGTCTGCTTCAGAATCATCATGATATTATTCCTCGTCTGAATCTTTATCACCATCTTCTTGTTAGTCTTCATCATCGTCATCACCGCCATCGTTTGCTGAATTCAGCATCACGCACAATCATCATGACGAGGACCATCGTCACTACTACTTGTAGCAGTGCGAGGAAGGGAAGCAGGCGCAGGAGCAGTAGCAGGAATGGCAGCATTCAGAGAAGGAGGATAAGTCGTCCATGAACTGCGATTTAGAGAATCAAGGCTAGAACCGGAGTCAACGACACTCGGTCTGCAACTCAACCTCGTGATCAAGTCCAACACAAGCGCCGGGCACAACATCAGACTGAGGCGCAGAAGCTCGACTCAATGAAGAACATGATGTGGGTGTACTGCTGGAGGCTGGTGTCCTGAGAAATCCGGCACACCGGACAAAGGGAAAGCAGCTGTTGCTTTCATATAATCGTTGTGAATGAGCCTCATTGGGGATTCGCTGTTGGTTTCTATGCTCAAGCCCCAACAGCTTCCGAAAGCTTGCAGGCTCAGGCTTGTCAATCCTGCCGTATGTGCAGTTCGGGCAGCAAGACAGCACAGGTGCAATCGCTGCTGGGGGATCGACCGCTGGGACCAACGAGGCATTTGAAGTGGTGACGTTGTCGCCCACCTGCGGCTGAGACCGGAGAACAAAAGACTTGCAAGTCCCAACAAGGTGACAACATCTATCTTACTACGAATCCCAACCAAGAACAAGGCTGCGGCTACAGGCAGGCTGTCAAAACGAAGAAGTCGCAGTTCTAGCTCCTCCCTGCGGACCAGTCAATTTCTGAATATTGCTGACTATGCCACTATGCCTAGTTGTCTGTTTTATTTCTCTACTAAGCTATCTTGGTAGTTGTACCATCAGTGCCATGCAGACAGAGAGAACCAAGACCCGACAAAGTGCCTCTGCTTCGGCATGGAACGTCCGCCAAACCCAAACGCCATTGTACAAAATCTGTGTAACCAGCAGTCCTTGCTTCGCAGTCCCGACAAGAGCAATACGTTCTGCGAACACGAAGTGCAGGGCCCCGAAAGTCAGTTTGGACATTGGCGATGTGATTGAAACATGTCAATCATGCGAAACATGCGTTCCATGCATTCTGGAATCCTCCTCGGCGCTCTAACTTGCAATTAGAAGTGCAGTACCCGTACGCAGAGGATTCACAGTTGAGATCAGGGTCGTCCCAGGAAGGTGGTCGTCGTCGTTGTGGTCGTACTGGATGTGGTAGTTGTGGATGTGATGGAGCTCGTCGTGGTGGATGTAATTGACGTCGAGGTGGACGTCGTGGAGGTCGAACTCGTCGACGAGGTTGTTGTGGATGTTGCCTTTGTTGCACATTGGTTGTGAGCGCTTGCAGCAAGGAGATCAAATGGGATTGAACCCATGCCCGGCACCCACATCCTCTGTCCCTCTTTCTTCTACACGACGTACTAACTCTTTAAGCTTCATCGCTCAGTCAGACGAGAAGCAGTTGTGCTCGTAGATGTAGTGGATGTACCTGGGATACGCATGTTTTCGGCGAACTTCTCAAAAAGAAACAGATCCGCAGAAGCGACATCTTTCTATGCGGCCAAGTGCTGGATGTCGTGGTGCTCGAGGAGGTCGTTGAACTGCTGGAGGTGCTGGTGGTGGATGTAGTGGAAGTACCTGAACTGGTCTCGGAGGACGCGTGAAACCTTCGGCCTTGCTGAAGCTCTCGAAGGGTTGAGGAATGCGCAGAGATGATGCCTTTCAACTCCAGGCAGAAGCTTTGAAGGGCACAACCAGACCTTCAGCCAGAGACACTTGTGGAAGTTACCGATGTACTCGTGGTGGAGGTCGACGTTGTTGACTTTGTAGAGGTTGTCGTCGTTGTTTTGGTCGCGGACGAAGTGGTTGTTGATGTTTCGGTCTTTGATGTTGTCGTGATCGTGATGGATGATGATGTTGATGTTGTTTTCGTCACTGACGAGGATGTCGATGTGGTCCTCTGCCAGAAGGAAGCTTCGAGTGCATGACTTGTTTTTTGGCTTAAGCTTCTGGCAAATGTGCAGAACGCTGCGCGACGTTTGCGCTGTTGAATGTCCTTGTCTCGGTCGTTGAAGATGTCGTGATCGAGGATGATGTTGAGGTCGTGCGAGTCACCTAATGACGTGGGCAAGTGTCAATGTCAATGAAACCTCCACTGCGTGCGGAGTTCGGGAGCACTACCCCATTGATTCAGGAGCGAGGGTTCACCTGGACACAACTTGGGATGGTATCCGAGCTGCACTTGTCGTGGAAGTGGAGGATGTGCTCGTCGACGTCGTAGAACTCGATGTGGTCGAGGTGGACGTAGTGGAGGTGGACGTTGTGGACGTCGTTGTGCTTGTGATTGATGTTGAGGTGGAGCTCGTGGAGGATGATGTGACCTTTATAAGACTGCCTACATCACCAAAGCAGTCGCTAAAGCTTTGACTTTCCAACTCGAACATGTCCCGAGCTGCCCTAGCTCCGACAATTCAAGACATTCGCCCCACACATTGGAACCCGATACCTCCAATAGTCCTCCAATCCCAGTGTCGGCACATTAGCCACACCGTCACTCCTATGCAAAACTCTCCTAACATACGCGTTTTTGACGTCTGCGCGTTTTTTGCGTGCTGGTGTGCTTTCTTTGGACTAATGTCTTTCTCCCTCCAGATTGCCGCAGTGCGTTTTTGCAGGCCCTAGAAGCGCACTTTGCGGGTTTTTCGGAGTGGAACTCATTTTTGGGGCCGTTCCCGTTTCATTTCGCTGCCGGCCAGCAGGGAGGGTGGGAGTGTGTTTTTGGGCAGTGCGTCTTTGGGGCCATCCAAAACGTAATGTGCCCGGAAGTAGTGGGTTTGTGCTGGCTGAGAAAATGCACAGCGGCAATCCTTTCCTTATTCCGTGTCATGTTTTTGTTGCCTGTTGGTGCGTGTCAAACCCCCGAAAGGTTGCAATCAGCGCGTGTCTAGAAAGCCTTGCTCCTATGCCCTGGACTTTCATCAATGAATCACCGCAAGCCAAGCTGACGACGAGGACGAAAGACCTAAGCCGAAGTTTTACACCCGCCCCCAAACTCCCAAACTGCAGGAACCTGATATCCACCAAGCAACAGCGATGGTCCTTCTATTGTTGAAATCCTTCAAGCTCCGGCCCATGGTGTTGAGCTTCACACAGCCCGGACGGAGAACATAAGCACGAAAATCCCGACGAGGCCCAAGACGACCCTGCAGCACCCCAAACCAAACCAAATCGAAAAGCCTCAAAGGCCAAACGGCTCAGCAACAACCTCGATGAGAAAACAGCCCAGAACCCTGATGCCCTAACACTGCTTCTGTAAGCAGGCACTCCAAACATCCCCTAGGCTACTCCTGGAACCTGAAGCTCTTGTGACTGAGGGCCGATGAGGAAGTGGAAGTCGTCCTCGTCACCTCGGTTGTTGGTTGCCAGAGGCTGGGGCTGGGCCCATGAGCTCACGGGCTCACAGGCCTCGATTTTCTTCTGGACTTGTTTTTGTTCGGGGTGGTTGTAGCATTTTCTGCGTCAAACACGTCATGATTCCCAAAAAAGCACTGCCCTACTGACACATGGGGGCTTTGTGGGTGTTGGTCGTGGGCCTCGCATTGTCGACTATCCAGCTGTGATAAGCCGGCGAACTATCTCGATGCTTCCGCCAAGCATCCGAAGACCAAACAACAACTTCGGCCCCAAACTGAAAATTCCTGCACAACGCTCCACCGACTGATCCGATGCAACAGAAACTCCGCAGCTTCGGGCAGAAAGGGGCCGAGTGATCTGGATAACAAAGATTTCCAGGTCTTTCGGAGGCTTGCGATTGAGTCCTTCAGCGCCTTTCTGGCCGCGGCTAACACCTAGGCCCCTCAATTCAGGTACCTAGCACAGTCGGAGCTGCCGATGTTGAGGACGTCGTCGTTGTGGAGGTTGAGGTTGTGGAAGATGACGTCGTGGTAGTGGTCGTAACCGAAGTCGAGGTAGTGGACGTGCTTGTGATCGATGTGGATGTCGTGGAACTTGTAGTGCTTGACGAAACCTGATTCGCGTGGTTCTAATAGGACAGTACGGTAGCACCGATCTGTGTACAAAGTCGTGTAGCACATGTAGAACTAGTGCACGCAGTCGTCGTCAGAGTGGCAATAGGGCTGGGTTGAATAACGGACAATGGAGTCATGATCCCAACCTCTTCTGTTGTCAACACGGTAGGTTACATAAAGCCATGCTGATCAAGCGGACAGTCGTGACATTCATAACTCGATGGAAGATCAACAACAACGGCAGCAGCAGCAGCAACAACAACAACAACAGCAACAACCACAACAACAACAACAGTAAGTAAGGCTGCACTGGTGGTAACGCTGATTGCTCCTATCTGCCATAGTTTGGTATCCGGAACCGGACCTCCAAAGCCTGAGCATGCCAAGGTCCGACTCTGAAGGAGTCCGATTGGGGTTCTTGGCTTTGCCCCATGCCATAAGTCAGCAAGCGAACCAACGCAATATAATGATGGTGCAAGGTCACAACCATGTACAGCATGCACTGTTAAGCGGTCACAAGCTGCTGGCAAGTACACGGACATGATCAGTCTCCGCTTCCCATCAGATTCCGTAGCTTTCTGATGCCGTGCCCCCCTGCTGAAATGGATAAGGCACTCGTTCTCCGCTGCAACTGGTAACGAATCATCCATGCGCAGGGTCAAGTCGTGTCCTCGGACTGCCCTTACTTTAGCTGTCAGGGTGCAACAACAACAACCGCAACAACCCCACAAAGTGGGGCGAAAGACATGTCTTCGTATGCACTGTCTGGGTCTGGGGCAGTGGGTGGGAAGGTGTCTCCGGGGTTGGTAGCGGAGGCATTCCCAAGCTCCGGCGAACACGCTGGCAAGGTAACGGTCGGGGGTTGATCAACTGGAGGAGCGTCCGTTGTGGAGGCAGTGGCCATGGCTGTCGGGCGAGGCGTGCGCCCCACCCCTGTTTTGAAAGTGGTTGATGACACGGGTATCGTTGGGGAATTCGAGCGGGAGGCCAGATTGGTTCCTGCAATGTCGGCAGGAGAGCCAGCCTGGCCTGGTCGGATGCAGGATTAAGCCTTTGAGCAGGCCCCGCATGACATCATCTATCTGACGTAATGCCTTGATAGTTCGGTTCCCCTCGGACCACGTCCATGATCTCATCAAAGGAGCTGTCAGAAATTCAGATCTGGACGATGTCCCCTATGTCCCCTCCTATGGGCAATGCCCCCTGCGTGCAGGCCGATTCTGCCTTATTGTCCTGGGCCTCTAAGACGGCCTGTGGCATAGCCTGCAGCTCGGCGCTCCGAGGGTCTGGGGTACCCCTTGAAGCCTATGCGCCAGTTCCAGCAGCGAGACAACAACAACCACAACCACAACCACAACCACAACAACAACAACAACAACAACAACAACAACAGCAACAGCAACAGCAACAGCAACAGCAGCAACAACAACAACAACAGAGCAAGAACGAACAAGAATAATAACAAGACCAATACTAACAATGAGAACATACAAGAACGACGACGACAACGACGATGACTGCAACACCAGCAGCAGCAGCGGCAGCAGCAACAAGACCGCGATCGCCGCCGACCCGCCCCCCCCCACCACCACCGACGACCACAACAATCACAAACAAACATCATCGTCATCTTCATCATCGAAGTCATCGTCATCGTCTACTCGTGCAGTGATCAAGTTCGCACATCTGGTTATCTTAATGACCACGGTAAGTCGCTCATCATTCCCATGCTCGGCCCTTGGTATACGACGTTGCGACTGGCCATCCTCTTTTTCAACGTCCAGAAACCGTGGACGTGGTCGACGTGCTAGTTGCGCTCGTCGACGTGCCAGTAGTGCTGCTCGTGGTGCTGCCTTTGGTAGCAAGGCTACGACGGCGGGCACTGGGTCTCGTTTGGCAGCCTTGATTAAATCAATTTGGTGCTTTCAGCCCCAACCTCTAACGGGGCAAGACCAAAATGCCAAAACCCTTTCAGCCTTTGAACTCCCAACAGCAGCAAGATCACGGATATCCAAGTTGCTTGTTGTGCTGGAAATTGTCGCCGTTGTGCTTGTGGTCGAGGTGATGGTCGTGCTCGTCGACTCGGAGCCAGCAAGGCAGACTTCAGGGCCTTTCAGTGCCTTCCAGCCTTCACCACTAGAGCTGTAGTGTGAGAATTACACTCGGAAATCCTGCACCTCAGCAAGTTCCAAACGTCGAAGGACACTCAATTGGTGTGGCATCAGCTGGAGACATACCTGAATCATGCCAACTTCTCCGAGTCTTCGGACCAAGCTGCTGATGATGTGAAGGAAGTTGATGTAGTAGATCTGATGAACAAGCCACGGCTTGCATGTATAAGCACTGTTTCGATGTGCAGCGCAGCCGCTAGCCTTACTTTGAACTGAACCCCCCGACCGAGATAAGGCTGGCACATCGTCGTCGTGGATGTACTGGTGAACTCAGTGGGCAGAACATCGGAGCACTGCTGCGAATAAAGCTTGCATCTTTCAAGGGCACTGAGCCATTGGCAGAAGTGCTCGTGGTGCTAGTGCTCGAAGTCGTACTGGCCGTGCTGGTCGTCGACTCGGAAAAGCGCAGCGAATCGGCAAAGTCGCAAACGATTTGGCAGCGGAGCGTTCACGAAACTTCAAGCTGAGTTGCTGAGGTTGTGAGGGAAGTCGACGAAGTGGAACTGGCAACATAAGCTGCTGACCCGGCCCATTCCAGTCCCGTTTGGACCAACAACATCTACACCGAGCGTGCCATGTTACATCGCACATGACGAAGGCTCCACAATGCCACATCCTGACTCCTAAGTTAAGCCGCGATTGGAAACATAAGGCGGGCACGTCGTCGATGTTGATGTCGTTGTGATCTTGGTAGGCAGGCCATGACGCGGAACCCATGACGCAGACTGGACCGATGTGCAATCGTAACACTTTGTGAGCACAGGTCAACTACTCATGCCGCGCAGCCTAGAACGAGGCGTCCTTGACACTCTACTTTAATCATGCCTTGCGCCCGTCTAGTGCGGAGCATTGCTGCGACACCAAGGTACGCACTCGAGGCATCCAAGTGGCTGTCGTTGTGGTGGTCACGGTTGCACTTGTGGACGTCGTAGAGGAAACCGTCGTCGAGGAGGACACAGTGGAGGTGGACGTCAGCGTGAAAGAGGTCGAAGTGGAGCTGCTACTAGACGACGTGCTCGATGTGCCTTGGCCGCAGTGCAGAACCGAAAGAGCAATGTTCAATCTACTAGAACCCTCGCTGAATCGCTGACCAGCAATGGAAGAGCTGGATTGGCGTATCGGATTGGCTTACGTGCTTCGCAAGCACCTGGGCTTCTTACTGGCATCGGCTAGTACTAGAGCTGCACACAGGGCACGGACCTGAATAGAGATTTGTCTGCCAACGAGACATATCCTTGAAGCTGATTTTTGCTCAAGGAGCTTATGGAAGTTGTTGAAGTACTTGAGGATATGCTCGACGTCGTTGAGGCAGAAGAAGTACTCGTTGTAGAGACTGTTGCAGAAGAGCTAGTGGATGTTGTTGCAGTGGCGGATGTTGAGGTCATCGTGGCAGATGAAGAGGTTGATGTGGTTTGCGTAATGGAGGAGGACGTAGATGTGGTCCCGGTCATGGTTGTAGAAGACGTCGTGATCGAAGATGACGTTGAGGTTGTGACAGTAGCCTCGTGCTACGAATGGTCGTAGCTGAACTGGTTGGACAGACAGCTCGACGAAGCCAGAACCGTGCAAACACAGCAAAAAGCAGCACGGTCTCACGGCCTTCGCCCATGCCGCGTTTCGTGAGTGCATCTTCAAGCGCAAGCCAAGTCTACATTACCCAAGAGACCAACCAGCGTGCAAACAAACAAGCTTTCAGTCATCCGTACGGTCGTATCTGAACAGTGCGCAAGAAGTCCACATCCCGTGCCTTGCTAAGTTAGAAAGTGTCGCATATGCCGCATATGCCTCTCTCGGTCTGAAAGCAAATCTCTCCCGTGCTCTACTGTTCTCCGAAACAAGATCGGAGCGACGCTGGACGAGGAAGTTGATGTGGCGGAGACCGATGTAGAAGAGGTTATCGTGGAGGAGGTTGTTGCGGAAGAAGTCGATGTAGAGGACACAGTCTGCAGGGGGTGTGGGACAGAAACCATCCCAACGGAACCTTTCCTCCGATTCAGCCCAAGAAAAACAGGTTGATGTACATTGCGACCATGCGATGATGATCATGATGATGATGATGATGATGGTGGTGGCGGTGGTGGTGGTGGTGGCGATGCTGCCCATGAGCATGGTGATGGTGATGACGACGACAACGACGACGATGGTGCCTTTGACAAAGCTGACGACGATGGCGACGTTGCTCTAGCTTCTGTTGCTGATGTTGTTGCCGCTGCCGCTGCTGTTGCCGTTGCCGTTGCTCTTGCCGCTGCGGCTGATGTTGGTGTTTCTGTAGCCGTTGCCGTTGCTATTGTTGCTGCTGCTGTTGTTGTTATTGCTGCTGCTGCTGCTGCTGCTGCTGGTGGTGGTGGTGGTGGTGTCGTTGTGGTTGTCGTTGGCGTTATCGTTGTCGTTGTCGTGGTTGTCGTCGTTGTTGTTGTTGTTGTTGTTGCCTCTGT